AATAGCTCCATGGTTTAAGTGATGCACCATTTTATCTTTAAAAAAATCAATGGCCAAATATTTCACTTGTTTCCTTCCCCCCCCAGCAGAACACCTGTACCACCATATCAGCTACCAGTGGGTGCTAATTGATTAGCAAATAGGCAAACAAGGTGTACCCAAACCACAACTTTTCAGCCAACACAGCTCAGTAACAAGATTACAGTACAATGACCTCAGCCATTCAGCTGATGCACTAATGAATCTAACTGTTCAGGAAGCCACAATAATGTTGCAGTAGACTTCAAGAGACTTTATTCTTCCTGCTGAAAGACCTGTATATGCTTGGAAACATGTTTTTATCAAGTTGCCCAAGAGAAATTGATGGTTAAATTGATGGATACATAGCTAATGGAGTCACAGAGACAATTAATACCGAATGCATTTCTTCCAGCTTTCCTGAGATGTGAATTTTCCTCTCTCATGCTTCATTATAGGCCTCTTGTTAAATGTCAAATTGCGGTACAATATTGAATACTTAAAGTCCAATCCACCTGACAGACAACCAGTTTTGAGGACAAAGTCATGATGTATGAAGTGCCCATACTATTGTCCAGTTTCTGCCAAAGTGTGCTCACAATCATCGTGAAAATACAGGGGAAGCCACGAATTAGGGCAGACCATTAGCATTACACCATGGCCGCTTAAAAAGAATGAAAATGTTGAATCATGGTTACAGTAACAAAACGCACTCTGTTTTGTTTTCTCAACAGCTGTTTCGTGGTCTTTCTCACAGGGCCCGCTCAGCAGCTTGGAAAAGAAGGTTGCAAGGGTGAGTTTGAAGTTGAGACTACTTTCAAACTTTGCACCCACAAATAATTCCGACTCTATGCAAGTACCATGACACTTTACATACAGTAATGTACGGTACCAGGGAAATTGGATGACTATCCAAAATGAGACTGTTTAGAATTGTACCCTGCACAGAAACAATAATTACAAGAATACTTCAGGAAACCAGAGGCAGGATAACTCTGCAAAATACATGTAACGCGTATGGCCCTTTGATGCCCACTGACTACTGAGGCACAGTTCCAGGCATCAACGACCTGGGTGGGGCAATTTGTCTTCAGTGTCCCAATTACTTACTTACTGAAAGGTGTGGGGGCATTCTCCACAAAGGGAGGTCATGAACTACAAGCCTTGTTTTTAACATCACGGGTCATTTGTCATTTAGTTGACCCTTTAAATAGGACAACCCACTGAAAGAATCATTCCTCAAAAGAAAGTGACTTTGCTCTAATGTAGTACATTTGGCCAGCAAAAGGCTGCATAATGTGTACAGGTGCAGTTTAGGTACATGGACATGTAGGTACCGCATACCGACACACAGCATAGTCTTTAGCCAAAATTTATGCACAGCTCTCTACATGTACATTGTGCATGTGCATGTACATGTACATGAAGAGTACTGCCACACTGTGTTAAAAAACAATACATTGTATTTATCAGACTTTAAACAGAAACTGAACACTGTCATTAATCTGCCAGTACTGCTATGAAGAGCAACTTCTGAAGGTTCCAATCTCTAAAATTCCTGCACCCTCCTTTATTTTCCTCAAGACACTAAACCAAAAATGGTTCTATATGAAGTGGAGTGCATGAAGCAAGATTACAACCCATGATTCTGTTGTCAGAAAGTTCGCCCCCAAGAGCTGCAGTGTATTGATTTGGGTACATTCAGTTACTCAAGTTGTGAAGGCCACAACAAACAAAGTGTGTGACCAGAGAGGGGCTTACACAAGTTACACATAAATAAACCATGTTTACAAGCATGTCCTTAAATTATGTAGAACACTAGCCACAGATCTGAAGGGAACCAAGTATTTCTTCATGCTCGTCCATGACGCCTCTAGCCCAAAACTGCACGGCCTGGCCAAACAGCAGCTTAGGTTTTAATGACCTATTGATTATCAAGAACTGAGATCAATATCACTGGGTCTAATCTGGACAATCTGTTGGCTTTTTGTCCTTGCGCTGTTCACGGTAGCACAGTTACGCCTCCGCAACATGTGGCTAGCACTTGAAGTTATCACTCCAACATTATCAGTGCTCAACGTTCTCCCATCCCTAGCCACGTAAGCAGTCACTGCACTATTTCCATCCAAAAAGCCTGTAAATTCATCTCCAGGTTGAGCAGTCTCCAAGCAGCTTAAAAATGTTGTTCAGACATGCATGTGAATATTCATAACCCAATCAATCCTGGAGCCCCACCCTTCGATGAACGTTGACGACACAAACTGAGCTTGGACAAAGCTGAACAGCTGTGAGAAGAGGAAACATGAAATTGAACAGTCTGCACACAAAAGAATTGTGTGCATTACTGCACATGTACGGGGGCTAAATATAGTGTAGGAGGCAAATCTCAAGGGTGTAGTAAGACATGAAGCTACTCCGGCATGGGTGAACCTGAGGGAACCGTTTGAGTTATGAGTTTTTAAATTCGAAATGTCAAGGATGTGTACCATCCAATTTGCTTGCTCCATTTGTGATACCACTGGGAGTTTTCGTCTCTCTAATCCAAGTTACTTTCATGTATATGTAAATCCATGGAGATCACGTTCTCTTTGTCAATGTGACTAAACCATGTCGAAATTTGATTATCTTAGAAAGTTTTGAAAACATTAAAATTGTGACCTGAAAAGATACAAATTTCACTCACATTACATAAACTACCACACTGTAGCCATGCCATCAGTGTCAGTGACAAACAACTTTTTTACAAACAAGCACACAGAGACTATTAGGTTTTCAACTTTCCGAATTGATGAAGATCGAACTGACCTTCACACAACATCCATCAACAGAAAAATGCATCAACATTTAAACTGTTACCTACACACCCATGTACAGCCTAGTGAACAGCCTGGTAAGCCACAAAACCACCAACTGGAAAAAATAAACTGAACAAAACAGAGCTCAACAAGAAAAATAACTAGTTAAGTACCTGCAATTATTGGGTCTTGCCGAAATCTTACAAGCAACACAAGCCATAGTGAAAGCTTTCCCCTACTGGGTACAATGAAAAGCTGCTTCACTTCATGAACCAAACAAAACGATGAATGTATCTTTGGTTTACTATACCGGTACATGTATACATCACATGCATAAATGCCCTCCTCTAATGTTCTTTCATTCATTCCATTTCACCCATAGTCCAACCCAAACACATTTTGGCAGGTCAAGTGCCATGCTTTCACCTGCATCTGTTGCCAATTTCCTGGGGAGGGAGGGGGTTGTCTGGCTGTGTTCAGACGGTCTGCCAAATGTCAAGTCCAAAAACAGATACAAGGTGCTACATCTGGACTTGGTGGCTTGGCAGAGGAATGTCAGGAATTTAATCTTCCTGTTAAAACACTGAAATGAAGAAAAATGTCTGAAGTTTGCGCCATAATATTGTCACTGTTAAGGTGCAAAACATAAGGCTAACTTCAAGGTACATCTGAATTGGAAATCATTGTAAAAACACTTGTCCTTCATGTCAAAATTTTATATGTTTGAATTGAAGAACAATGGTAGCTGCGACATGTAGGTGTGGATCCATCATAATAGGCTTTGCACTTTAATTAATTACAGGAATGTTCACTTCAATAAATATCACAAGTGACATCTAATGTCCCATTATGCACTAAACCTGAAGCTGATCTTTTTCCCCCAGGTTGGGACAGCATGTACGAGGTACATGTACAAGTATATGAATCACTTCATTCCTTCTTCAACAGGCAAGCTTCAATGAACGACAATTAATAAACTGGTCAACTTTTTTACCTGGTACCCGGGACATGTTTAGGGTACAGGTTACCAAGAAGGATCAACCAGTAGTTGACAAATCGGTTCCTGACCAAACTCGGCCTTAGCTTGGCTTCAACTTTCTCCTCTGCCTACACTTCCTTGCTATGCTGTGCATGTAAGAGGTAAATAAAATAATCCACATGAGTATCTGACATAATAAATGTCGACATGTTGCAGATCAAAGAGTGCAAGCATGCATTTCAGTACCTGAAAATTACCATCATGTATAGTTTCAGACCCATAGTATAATCATTAAAAGATTGTTTAAACTTGTTCTGTGAAGTGGATCCACTGTGTTCATGCATTCCTGGCTTGCTGCAGACCACAAAATGCCATTTCCAATCAGTAGTAACACCGCCAATTCAGGCATTTAACCTGATGAAAGATGTCCCCCACTGTGGGACAAGTCATGGATGACTGGGTGTCTTGCAAAGTTCAGCTTTAACAAAAAAACTAGTCAATTTTACAAACTGACTAATTCCAACTACATGTAGCAACTATTTTCTCTCTGATTCCAAGTGACTGCTCATGTCATTCACAAGCTCAGAGAAACTAGGAGGTCAATAGCTTTACCTCTAACTGCAAACAACGGGAAAGTAAAAAAAATGCAAGCATGCAAAAAGATTTGAGATCACACCATGACCTTTCACAGTTTTGTGCAAGTACCGATACGGTTGAACAGTGCATGTCCATTATCATACATGTACCTACATTTTACTTGTAAACAATCTTCAGTTTTGGAAATACAATGCAGAAGTTCTTCGTAGTTTACCTGTTTTTTTGGGGGGTGGGATTTTTTCAGGGGAAAATTAAATTAGGGTATTTCTTTGTGTAACATTTATGGCCTTTCTAATCTAAGGGGGTATTCCAAACTTTTTTTAATGCTTTAAACAGTAAGGGAAAGAAACATGTCAAAGTCCCCTCAATTTATTTCTCTCATAACCCCCCCCCACACGACTCCTAGGTGTATTTCCTCCAACCGGTACCATGGATCCCCAATACTTGTGACCTATGCACAGATAGTTCCCATTAATTAGTGCAGAGTGCCAACATAAAAAGGCAAAAGCAGACCCATGCTTTCACTGATAGACAGTATTTTCTATTTTCTTCAACGTGTCCCATGGCAGGTCATTGGCTCTCTGGATCCCTAGATACCAGTACATGCACATGTACAAGTAAATATCAAACATCATACACTGAACTTGTTTCAAGACTAGAATCTGACAGCAAAATGTTAACTACATCCGGTACACGTGGTTACCGTACACATGTGCATCTTGTAAGTCCCCCAATATACGGTACATTGTAAAAGGGCAGTGCAGTTCTCAAATCAAAAACATGAGCAGTAGGCATACCCAGGACACCTGAAGTAAAATCCGCAGCATGAATAAATTAAACAATACATCACTGATTATCAGTCTGTACATGTACTTTTGAGTACCGGTGATTAAAAGTATTGTACCAGTCCACACTGAGATACATGTAAAATACATGCCTGTGTTTGTACAATACAGAGCACCATATGTGTACATTTGTACCAAATACAGCCATAATCAATGACCGGGCAAGGCAGAATTATTGATCTGAAGGTGGGCAAAGCTGAAGGATTAACTGGGGAAGATTAAACAGCCCCAGGCTAGGGAAGGACCAGGGATGTTGTGCAAGATTTGCAGGGATATGAGAGACAAACACCCCCTGCCCTGATCACCTGTCACTGTGTCAGCCAGGTCAAAGACTCCAAGAGTATTTTTATTTGCTGAACGAAGATGCAGGGTCATACATGTACAATGTACCAGTACATACCTGTATGTAACTTGTATACATGCAACTGAAACAAGTTTTATGTATATATTATTACATTTATGCTTTCCACTGGCCGACAACATATAAAAATACATGTAGGTAAAATATGTACATCTGTTATAAATATTAAAATCCATAATACTGCAAAAAATACAAAACAGCACAATAAAAGATACAGAACAACCCTGACTGAAGTAATTGAGTACAATTTACCTGTACCACCTGTTAAGATTAAGAGCAGTAAACTAAAACTATGCAAGCCAATTTTGCTTCATTGTGTTTGTTCTGTTTCTACTTCAGTTATGTTGGGTGTTTATTGTCTGGCACACTGCATCAAGTTTACATGTATGTACATGTACAAAGCACCAACAATGTCAACCTTTTTTCTTTACAAAGAAGGACTGTATACACATGTACCAGTCTATAGTGCCTAAACAGATCAAACACAATGCATGATTTCTGTATGAAAGCCCTACATTTATATACATGTACATACGTGTACATGCATCCTACAAGAACTGGTACCATGTACATGTACTACAGTATCTAATAATGGGCCAGTGTATTGATTTTCAAGCAGATGGTCAAAATTTGAGGGTAAAACAGAGAGTGTACTATCACCATGTTGCCTTGATGGACAATGAGCAGAGAATATGGGAGGGGGGTGGATCTAGGTGAAATAGACATGTGCATATGTACAGGAGACAAAAGATGGAGGTAGTGAGGGAATGATGTTGGGCAGGTGCTGGGACGCTGATGTCATATGGTCAAAGTATCCTGGAGAGCAGAACAGAAAGGAGCAATGTATATGTACATGTAGGCAAACCGGTACCCTACCTCCAGGATACCTTATGTGTAGGCCCTACTACACCTGCATGTAATTAAAGTTACATTCCTCAGACTTCTTTTCAGTAAAAAATTTAAACCAGGTAAACATTATGGTCACTCCAAGAGGCAAATTTTGGGGGCGGTGGAAAACCAAAACATACAAGGTCCACATCAAATGTACAAATGTGTCATCCATGCAGGATCCTGTACCCTTTCCAGTTGCAATTTCACTTCAAGAGGAAGAAACATTACTGCTGGCAGGCTGATGCATACTTGGAAATCCATCGCCTGTTGGGCCTGCATACTGCAGCTTTATCAGAAGTGTTTATTTTGGGGATTTTCTCAGGCAATTCAAGAAGCTGATGAGACTGAAGGCTGAGTAAAGAAGCAGTGATTCCTTGGAAAAGCCCTCCAAGTCAACAACTGAGGGCTATGAAGGCGGCGTTCAGCAAACAGATCAAGCCCCAAGTGGGAGGGAGGGATGGTAGTAACGGTTGCTACATGTACAACTGTGATGCAACTTTCTCCTCAATACTTCAATGAGTTTCTATTTCTGTTGGCCTACCATGTAACTGTTTCCAAATCCATTTGCTTCAGAAAGTATACC